AGGAAGAACTGGATTAACGCATTTTATCAGCATTGTATCAGGCTTAGTCTGGGCTTTACAACCTGATCTTCAAAGGAGTGTTTGAGAAGAGGAAAAAGGCCAGTTCAATCACAGAATCATAAGTTTACCACAGCAAGGCCTCCTGCTCCTTTGAGGGAGAAGGAAGACTGGGTATTTCTTTGCTTTGGGCAACTAGCCCTGCTTTTGTGATGCAAACAGGAAAGAATTTTATCTTGCACAGCAGATCAATCACCCAGAGGTCTATGGGAAGGGTGGGAAGTGAGAGGCAAGGCTAAGGCACAGAGAAGCAATATGACTTTGCCCTGAGGCTTAGTTTCCCAAAGGCAGCCAAGTTAACCCATTCATATCTCTTCAAGACCCATAAATCCGCAATTTTATCACCACCAAAGCAGGGCACGCAAGAGGAGCAGAGCTATGAGAGTAACTGATTTTTTTTGGTCTTTCAGCCATACCAAAAAAGAAAATAATACTGTAATTACGAAGCATAGTCTGGTGTTGAACAGAGTGTTTAATTTAATCTTTGGGCTTCTTGAAACTTAAAAAAAAATTAATAAGCCAACGTAAATTTTGAAATGAGGAGGGCCCTCAAATCAAAAACTTGAAACTTTTTGGTTTCAGATTTTTTTTTTAAACCAAAACAATTTGGCAAATCTGACCTGAATTTGCAAAAGGTTTTGGTCAAACCAAATCTGCATTTTTCCGTGAAAAATTTCAGCCAAAAAAATTCACTCAGCTCTCCCCGGGAGTTCTTAACCCACACAGTCTTCCCACTAGGGGCAGCTTTTGTAAATATCTGCTGACAGAGTACAAGCCCACCAAGAGAGATTTGTGCTGACTCAGGCGGATACAAGCACCACGAGGGAGTAACACCAAATCCAGAGCTCAGGCTGGTGGCCATCAATAAGGATGAAGCCAGTGGGAGACTCTCATTACTAGGGCTGACCTTATTGTATATTTGCTCAAGTTTCAGATCCCTCTGGGTTAAAGTGTAAATCAGCATGGCTCGGGGGAGGGATAGCTCAGTGGTTTGAGCATTGGCCTGCTAAACACAGGGTTGTGAGTTCAATCCTTGAGGGGGCCACTTGGGGATCTGGGGCAAAATCAGTACTTGGTCCTGCTAGTGAAGGCAGGGGGCTGGACTCGATGACCTTTCAAGGTCCCTTCCAGTTCTAGGAGATGGATGGCTCCATTGATGGCAGTAACACCAGCCAAAGATCCAGATCTCTCTCGACCATCACGCTTTGTTTTGCCCACTAGGCCTGTGTGTTAGGAGTACAGCAATACTATCTATAAACCCCTATGACATTTCACAACGCATTTCAGGGGAAATCTTTCTCACCTGCCCTTATCAGAGTGGGTCAATGGGAACCCTGGAGCTTTGATTGTGATGGGTGCAGCTCAAAGGGCATTAGTAGGAAATGCTCTAGGCCCGAGGCCTTCCAGCAGAGCATGGTGAACACCTAAAAACATGCTCTGTGATTATCTGCGCTAACAAAAATTGAATTCACTTCTGTGCTTGTGCCCCTGTTGCAATCACTTTCTGGCAATCTTCTAGCAAGCTACTTGGCTGTCAGAAACTTGCATGGAAATAGCAAATTTTTCAACTCACAAAACACACAGGTCATATTCACCCAAAGAGTCTTTCACATTGAGAATTGGAATCTAAAAGTTAGTGACATTCATCCAGCCAGGAAGCAGGAGTACCTTCATGAGAGCTACATGTGCCACACTGACAGACAGTGTGAATTTTGGGCATTGGATAGTTGGAAGGAGCGGCTTATGAACAATCTACTGACTAAGAATCATTGTGAATCAATTCAAGATTATCCCCCACTGCCCAAAGGTCATTCATGAACAGAAGCGTCTGGGTCCACTGAATAAATTATTTGTGCCGATTTACTACTTGCTGAGTTCTACCTCACAGCAACCCTGAGTCAGTTCCTCTCTCGGTTCAGGCCAAACCACTTCTTCAGAACCAAACTGACTTGGGCAGCACCTTCCCACAGACGTGCCATGTGTCACATAGGAATACAATGAAAAAAACATCGTCTCTCAGACTGGATTCCAACAGACAGCACAAGTAACTGCTGGACTAATTCTGGGAGCCCTTTGTATTCTTAGAGTGAGTCACGCACTCCTCAGTGGCCACAGTCATACAGTGGGCTGACTTAGCAATACCTGTTGGACAAGGCGGGTGAGGCAATATCTTTTATTGGACCATCTTCTGTTGGTGAAAGAGACGAGCTTTTGAGATCCACAGAACTGTTCTTCAGGTCTGAGAAAGATCCTCAGAGTGTCAGAGCTAAATATAAGGTGGAACAGATAGTTCAGCATAAGGAAGAACAGGAGTACTTGTGGCACCTTAGAGACTAACACATTTATTAGAGCATAAAGCTTTCGTG